GTGAAAGCATATTGGGTCCGTTGTAAAAGCTTCTCAACAAAATATCGGACGTCAACCTCCTTAAGCATTATGTTCCCACCAATAAGGTCCGGAAGGTCCTAGAAGGAAAAACTCGGCTTAACATGACACCGATGGAAGTTCAGAAAGTCGTTAGCATTGAAGAAAGTCTACACCGTTTTATGATTTAGTCATCATTGGGTTTAAAGGGAAGAGCTGCGTTTTTTGTGGTCGCAGCTGAATGGCGCAGTTCCACCACGCATGAGAGTTGGAGCGCATTATCTCCGAAAATCGCTGAAATTTGCAGAATATTCCCATTTTGTGAAGAAAGTAGACATTTTTCTTCGCGAATGAATTTCTGCAGTGAAAAAGGCGAGATTGAGAAGCTGGTAGCTTCACCATGTGAACTTGACCGTTCGCTTACAGAATCAATGAATAACCGCTGTTGTTAGGTGCATGTCCCGTTCCGCATGGAAAATCGATGCTACTGCACTTAAAGTACATTTTCTCGCCGCTGTATATGAAAAACGGACCAGGATAAGCTTTGATCGATATTGTTTTGGGACGCGCCACACATTCAACTTCCATTCAGAATTGCGATAACTTTTGGATGGAAATGTTGTTGAAGTGCGCCGATACGCTACTTCTCCTAACAGCATAGGGATAAAGGCCAGCAGCTGCGTTTATGCTGCGAATAATGTTGCATTCAGGTAGCTCGCTTCCTGCTTTACCTCTGGGTACGAGAAATAACGTGGATTATGAAAAATAAGCTTAAAAGCACCGTTGAGAAACCTGTTACAGTTGAGTGAGCTTTCGGCTAAGATATCATTATTCTAAGGTACCCGACAGGAGGCCCGTCGCGCGGCAAGAAGGCAGAGTCAGCGGACGAGTCGCAGCGCGTACTGTAGTGATTTCGCGTCAAGTTAAATAGAATGTCCATTGTACGTCCTACATCGCACATCACGCGCTGCGACTCGTCCGCTGACTCTGCCTTCTTGCCGCGCGACGGGCCTCCTGTCGGGTACCCATTATTCTACAGCAACCACGTGTTGGAGTTGGAATGACTAGAAATTTGTGAATCATTGGGTTGTTTCATAAGTTCCTGTCCATTTCTATTCAAATTCAAATTTCTTCCGTCTAAGACCGTTTCATTGCGAAATACGTTAGTATGTTGAAGTATGCTTCAAGAGCCTTAACAGCGTGGTTTCGGAAGCGCAAGCCTCGTAACGGGTTAATCAACTAAGAATAAAAATAGGTCAGTGACTATTACGTAAGGATTTGCCTAACGATCTCAAATGATAATTGTTGTCATAAGAGGGCAGTGATAAAACCAGTGCTGTGATTGACCCAAATCCCCTGCTTACATATCCTTATCCTCTGCACCGAAAAGGAAAAAAAAGATAGTGGTCGCCATGGGTCCTTCGCAGCGCAAACGACGAAACGAGCTAATGAAGACCACCTCCCTACGGATCCTCTACCCACTGTTTGATGATGGACCTCTTGCACCCCCCAAAATCGGAAGTGCATCGGCGCTACTACGTGTGATTTGTAGCGATTACCTAGGCCGCAGCGATGCACCAGCGCGTCTCCATCTGGATTGCAATGGCTGCAGCAGAACCTTGATTTGAACCCCGTATACACCGAAGACCATGAAGAAGCACGTCTGACTATGGAAAAATTTCATTCTGAAACCGCATAAGCACAGCCTTACCTCAGTCGGTCACCAGTGGAAATGAGTCATGATTTCACTGTGGCAACACGCCCGATGATTACCTCGCCGCCAGGACCTACCAGCTCAAACAAAGCCTGGACTTCTTATTCAGGGCATATCACTCTCGGTTTGTTGAGGGGTGGCCTGGTTTGGGAACCACTTCAATGTATGAAGACAAGCATTGCTAAAGTCAGCGCGGAATAGCCCTCTAGGCTGGCTTCGGGGTTGCGAGGGAATCGTCAGAAACGTCTCAGATTCTCCTTTCTCCGAATGTACTCCAGACCTCACATTGCAATGCCAACTCACCACGTTTCGAGGAGATAGCCAGGTTCACGATACCACATTCATCGGAAAGCATTGGCATCTCATAGGGCTAACCCTCTATTGTGCCCTGAATCAGCATTCATGGACGAAAACAAAGTCAAGGAATACTACCACCTCAAAAACAACCCCTCCAAACTTTTCAAGAACCGGCTTCACTCATTCTGGAAGTTTTCCAGAAAATCCCCAGCAAACACATGCATATCGCTGACCATGATGGTGGTTATGATTTGATCAATGGTTTCCTAGTAGAGACTCAACTTGAATAAATGCGCCAAAATTCGGACAGTAGTCATAAGACAACCCAATAAATTCTATGTGTACGCAACACTCCATGAAAGAAACATTGCCTATGTGGCCAGCATCCAAAATAACACAGTGGAAACTTTCATTACCTTGTAACCTTGATGCAGATGCTGCCTCACAATCAAAACCAGAGTTCATTACGTTCAAAATGGAGAAGTAGGGGGGGGGTTAAATTATGCAACAAGGACACTATCGTCAAAAATGATTTTGAGCTTGGTGATACTAATACACTACATATTATAGTCCGTTCGTTCCTTCTTTTTTTATTGCTCGAATCAAACCAAGGCTATATTAAGATGGAAATCTTTTGCTTTCAGTTTCATGGGGGGCTAGACACGAAGGAGCGTAGATAAGAAGTTTCGCAATTATTCCACGCTTTTGCTGCATCTTTTGAAGACCTCCAAGTTCTTTGCGGTTATGTGCATGCTTCTTTTTCTCATACAACACGCAAAAATTCTACTGGAACTGGGTCGGGGCTGTCAAGTAGCAGTTCGTTAAAATACACGAGGTCGACAAACTTGTTTTAACGAAATTCTCGACCAGATGTTGCTTTGATAAGGTGATTCTCTCGTAAAATCCGGGCTCACGTGGTTTCGTTCTATGTCAGAAATAGGTTCTATGAAAAGTTCGAGTTTGCAGTGGCATCAATTTTCTCTGAATGGAATACAACCCTCCCCCCCAAAAAAAAAGTCATCGCTTTTGATAATTTAAGTAGGAGTATATGTAACCCTTACCTTTCCACTCTTACGATCTAATGTGGTTCTGGGCCTGCTGCTGATTAGCTTTAAGCTTCTATTACATGACGAATCGCCAACCGATGTCTCGTCGGAATCCTTTGCCGATGTAACGACCCACGGTGATTGGATGCCTTCATTATTGCTTGAAGGCAAATTCCGGGATTTCTGGCGAAATTTAGTTTTCCCCGTCAAATATGCAGCAGTACGCAAGGGCAGACCATGTGCAGAAGTGGCGGGGCGTTTGATAAGGTTTAGGCGCTAGGAGCCTAGGTTGGAGCATTGGCGCCGCCCCAACCCCATTGAGCCCGCCCACCGTCCTACGTGATCTTCCAAACAACCACTTGGAATACTAGATGTTAAGCAGTTGTTTGGAATGTCGTACGTTGGTCAAGGGTGGCCTACCAGTCAAGCGCCGGGCCCACTAGGCGCGAACTCCCCGATGATCTGGCGGGACAGGGGGGAGTCGAGAGTATATATTTTTAGAGAAGTTACCAGTAGGAAGCATTCCTCCGGGGACGGCGCGCCCTCCCTCCCCTCATCGTCGTTTTTATTCTTTTTTTTCCTTCTGTTTCCTTGTTCGTTCGAAATAAAATTTGTTTGATTTCGCGACTCTACACTACACTCAATAGCTTTGTCAGAGAACTGTGGGGACCCATTAAGACCCTACATGGGGGCCGAACTCAGCAAAGCTTGAGTGAGTACAAGTGTTCGTGGTTGTAAGTTTGACTGAAGGAGTCAAACCATCGAGGCAGCTTTGACCCGTGATACAGGGCGAGTCAGAGCCAAGGTGACTGATCTCAGCATTGGCTAGAGTGGAGCCAAAGCAGAGAACGTGTGGAGAGAGGTCAAATCGGATTTCCGATTGTGTCATTGGTCACCGATCAAGGTGTGGCCAGTGAGAGGAGAGTATTGGACTGTAGGCTACAGAGGAGCCAAACCGAAGAGTCCGTGCTAGGAACAAAGAGCAGAACGGTATCCCTGATTGATCGGGACTGCTCAGAACGTACCCATAAAGTGTGGGAAAGCGTCTTGATAGTGTGTTGTAGTACTCGTGTTCGCGTATCGTGGAGTATCGCGTTCGGAGTGTCGAATTATTCTATATCGCGTTTGTATTATCGGATAATTCTGTCGATTGGAGGCTTGAACTGTTGTCTTTCAGTTGATAAACAGTCACTATGGTGGTCAACAGCGAAGATCACATGGAGGACTGTATGGACGAGCAAGAGCAGATGCCAACGGTGAGCACAAATAGTTCTGTTTTTCCTCTTGAATCAGTTAGTAACGAGTTAACCAAGATAAACTCCATGTTGAAACGAATCCCTGAGATTATTAACTCGGAACTAAGGGAGCATAAGGTCTCGGCTCGTTATAAGGAGAAACATTGTGAAGTTCTTAGGAAGGAGGTTGACAATGTCTGCCAAAAAATTCGAAAAACTATTGGGTAACTGTAAGACAACGCTTGTGATCCAAGAAAGAATTTGTGAAGTTCTCGATGAGAGGGGGATAGATTCGGAGGATGAGTGGGATCGGTACATTGCGACTATGGAGAAAGACGGAGAGGTTTTGGCGACAGTATGTGACATACTGAATTCGAACACGTTGCAGGTGGTCAGTGCTGCAAGGGACCTCAAAGCAAGAGTCGTCGAAAGCGGAGATTGCGCACAAGGAGAGCGCGAAGAAAAAAGAGCATGTGAGTATGGCAACGCCAATGTTCAAATGGCATATGACATCGGAAGAGATAATGGGCGCTTACAGGCACCTCCGACACAGTGGACTGGAGCTGTCTTCGAGCCCAGATGGAGGCAATGTGTGGAGAACTACTTGGAGGGACCAAACGGACCACCAGGTCAGTGTTCGACAATGGATATGATTAACTGTTTCCAATCTTTGTCTTGTGTCGATCCTGGGGTATACAAAGGGAAAGTGAATGAGAACTTTAAAGAATTCATCCGAAGGTTCCGTAGGAAGTACCAAAGGGTGGTTGTGAGTGATCAGACACTTATTGAGATATTAGGTGATGACCACCTAGGTGGCAGAGCAAAGTCAGTGTTCCTTTCGTTACCGATGGAAGTTAGAAATAGAGGTTTTGAGGCGGTAGTGGAGGAGCTAGGAAAGCTGCTGGCAGATGATTGTGTAGCTGGTCGAATGCGAGCCATTGCTGAACTGCGCGAACTGAGAATCCGCCCTCAGCAGGAAGTTGCTGATTTCTGCGTAGCCTTGGAAAAGTTAGGAAGGAAAGCGAACCCACGGGGTAGTATTGAGGATAATTCGCTAGAGTACGCGCACATCCTGTTGTCTAACTTGAAGCAATGGCCAGAACATGTCCAGTTATTGAGTGTACTGCATAAGGCAAGACCAGAAAAAGCGTATGAAGAAGTGAAGCAGTTGGCTCTGTCTATTGAGCTATCGAAGCGGATTTACGGGGGAACCCAGGTAGAAAGGGAAGACCGACACCGCGATTGGAAGACGAGAGCTCGGTCGTACAAAAGCAGCAATCTGGAAGTAGGCGGAGGAAGGACCGCAACGACAGGAGTCATCACAGAAGTTGCGAGAAAAGAAGTCGACGGGAGGGTAGATCGAATCTTTCCTGAAAAAGGTCACGCGCATAGGTTTCTGGAACGAAGGTTGCCCTCCGATAGTAATAAGCCTCGGGAAAGGAATAGCAATGATGGTAGAAAGTGCTTCAACTGTTCAAAGTTCGGGCACATTGCGAAAGAGTGCACCCAAAGAACACAGGTAAAGCGAATCAAGGAGTCACAAGTAGAGAAGGAACCTGCAAGCGATGACAGGATCTCGCTCATCGTACAAAAAGCGAGGAGTATGGGAGTTAGATTAGCAGCTGATCCGAGAACGACAACTGCATTAGTAGGAAGACGAATGTCAGGTTGGGCGAGGGTGTTGGATACCCGCATTCCTGCTCTGCTAGATGCTGGTTCAATGATAAGCATAGTCCGCCGTAATAGTGTTATCTCGAGCCATGGACAGAGGCTTCGATGTGGACAGCCTAGAGCTCATAAGGAAGGGGAAGGATCTACCAGTTTATGATGCTTCGAACAATAAGATGGAATTCCTAGGCGCAGTTAGAATGAGGGTTGAGTTGGAAGGAGGACGGAGTAGTGAAGTAGCTTTTTATATTGCGGATAGTCGTGAAGAGGAATACTGCTTGGAAATGCACTAGGCGATTTGGGAGTTACCTTGACAATTTCGCAGTCAAAATCAGATGCCAGTGAGGCCGAAGGTGTGAAGCCCAACACAGTGAAGGTAGCAAAGAGGATATATATCCCACCTCACGGATCTAGGGTAGTGTCGGCTCACTGTGATGTTGGAGAACAAATGACGGGGGGTGTCCTTTGGCCAACTAGAACAGGGTTGAGTTGTGGAGTTTTCAAAATAAGGAATCAGAAAGTTGAAATACCAGTGGTAAATCATAGTGAGGAGCCTATGATTCTTGGACGAGGGGAGGAAATTGGTCACTGGGGTACCGAGAAGTGGAAAGAAAATTGGGAAGCCTTTAACCCATGTGTGTTGGAGGATACAGGGAATAGGGCGGATAGCCACGAACGTCGAGCGCTTTTAATAGAGCAGCTCAGACAAAGCTCGAATGCCAAGAGCTTAAGCGAGGATATTTTGGAGGTACTAGACGAATTCCCAGAGGCTTTTTCCGTGTCAGATACGGAACTCACGGGAACGGACAAGGTAGTGATGGACATAGACACAGGGGACAACAAGCCCATCAAGATGAAGACACGGCCTGTCCCATTAGCAGTAAGAAAAAAGTTGAAGGAGCTGTTGGTTGACCTGCAAAATCGTAAGATCATCGAAAAAAGCAGCTCAGAATGGGCATTTCCTATAGTCCTAGTCGAAAAAAAGGATGGAAGTTTGCGCCTGTGCGTACAGTACTCGCCGTTTGAAATCGAAAATTCACGCGAATAACGCGAATCCTCGTTAATTTCGTGAATTCGTTATAAGTCGGGTCAGAGTGAAGTATTCCAGAAACGGAAAACACCGTTGAACTCAGCTCTTCAAGCGCTACAAGATGGTGCTAAAATATTTTCAGAAAGCTTGATTTCGGAATGCGCCATGCACTCGATTTCATCTCAAAAAGTAGTTGCTCGCATGTGATGTGTATATAATCCCGCTTATGCGGGCTAACCGCTACACACAAAGAAGGGCCTCAAAACTTACCCCAGAATGCGCCACGTACTCAATCTCATCCACTACATTGTGAGATTAGATGAATGTTATTTTCCGAATTCTTAGATCTTCATTTCGTTTCAAGCGCTTACTGGCTTTACGTGTTCCCTCTGCTCTCAATATCCCATCCTCTGTATATCAAGTGGAATCTTTGAACAGTTCTCAGCAGGCATAGTGGGCCTATTATGTGACATTTTCCATTTTCAGAGGAGATGTTTTGCAGAAAGCTGTGAAGATAGCGAACAATTTCCTTCACTGTCGTAGACTACGGTCACTTGTCTGTAAGGATTATATGGAAACCTTGGTCGCAGGTGAGCGTTTCTTCCGTGGTGTGACCCCAAACATCACCCCTTGTCATGCCTTTGCCCCCTATTACGTGACAAGTCCCATTTTTAGAGGAATGTTTGTAGAAAGCTGTAAAGGAAGCGAAGAATTTCCTTCACTGTCGTAGACTATGGTCACTTGTCTGTAGGAATTATGTGGAAAACTCGGTCGCAAGTAAGCGTTCCTTCCGTGGTGTGGCCCCAAACATGCCTCCTCGTCATGCCCTTGTGGAATGTTCAGATTTTTTGCATTTCCAGATGAACTCGAGACCTGAAATGTGCCCCGTTAGCTTCCCCGTGAAAAATGCTATCGAATGATATGCATTACCCCCAGTTGAAACTTTGGTTTTTCACCGTTTTCAGCCTTCCCCTATTATATCCCACGATTACTGCCCCAAAATCTCAAAGTTTCATTTTTCGTCGAAACTTTGTCTATTGGGGTAATTCGATGCCCTGATTACGAATATGACATTCATTTTTGATGCTGGTGTCATTTGGCGCCAATTTGGCGCCACGGCTGTTTTCACCAAATCTGCTGAAACTTCGTCATTTGGGGTTATTTGGGCCGAGCGTGCCGCACTGGACCATCGAACGAGACCAGGGTCTACGTTCATGCCCGAAAGGATTCCTTTTTCGAGAACTGTAACTTTCCTGAGTCCAACGGTGTTCGCACTGCCCTATTTCTGGCTGCGCGACATGGGCAAGGTGAAGGACAAGGAATACGAGCTCAATGTGCCACACCAGTTCAATTCAGTGGGAGCGGTTCTTCCGCGGCGAATGTGTGGGGCACTTCAGGAGGAACCCGCCGATCATCGGAAGGTTTGGGTGCGAGGGGGAAACTGACGAAACACTGGTTATCAAACGTAAATACAACCGCCGACGTTGGGTACGCAGGCACAAGTGGCTGTTTGGAGGCATTGAAAGAGGAAGTGGACTCCTTCGGATGGTCCGAAGGAAAGACGTTTCAACTCTACTGCGGCTCATCATGAAGTAGTACATCGAGCACGGTACTACCACCCTCAGTGGCAGCTGGAGAGCTTACAGTCGAATTGCTGCTCCCCAACGCATACAGGCATCTCCAGTGAAAACGTGAAATATGCTTCTGGCTTAGCTCACAGTTTTCCACGGTCTGGCTCCTTCCTGTCGTGGGAAAGTCTCCGATTCGATGACCTTTCCCACGGTCTGGCTCCTTCCTATCGTAGGAAAGTCTGATTCGGCGACCTTTCCCACGGTCTGACTCCTTCCTGTCGTGGGAAAGTCTCCGATTCGATGACCTTTTCCACGGTCTGACAGTCGGCGCTCTGAGAAAGGTGCCTAAGAGTACGCTCTGACTGTGAAGTGTTGTTTGTGACACCACATGGCGCCGGCGTCAAGACTGAATGTTATATTCGTGATCAGGACCCCAAATAACCCCTATACACACGTTTTCAGCGGATTTGGTGGAAACAGCCGTGGCGCCAAATTGGCGCCAAACGGCGCCAAATGGCGCCAGCGCTAAAAACGGGTGTCGTTTTCGTAATCAGGACCCCAAATAACCCCAAATGACGAAGTTTCAGCAGATTTGGTGAAAACAGCCTGTGGCGCCAAATTGGCGCCAAACGGCGCCAAATGGCGCCAAATGACACCAGCATCAAAAATGAATGTCATATTCGTAATCAGGGCATCGAATTACCCCAATAGACAAAGTTTCGACGAAAAATGAAACTTTGAGATTTTGGGGCAGTAATCGTGGGATAGTGATCCGGCAATAGGGGAAGGCTGAAAACGGTGAAAAACCAAAGTTTCAACTGGGGAAGTAATGCATATCATTCGATAGCATTTTTCACGGGAAAGCTAACGGGGCACATTTCAGGTCTGCGAGTTCATCTGGAAATGCAAAAAATCTGAACATTCCACAAGGGCATGACGAGGAGGCATGTTTGGGGCCACACCACGGAAGGAACGCTCACTTGCGACCGAGTTTTCCACATAATTCCTACAGACAAGTGACCATAGTCTACGACAGTGAAGGAAATTCTTCGCTTCCTTTACAGCTTTCTACAAAACATTCCTCTAAAATGGGACTTGTCACGTAATAGGGGGCAAAGGCATGACAAGGGGTGATGTTTGGGGTCACACCACGGAAGAAACGCTCACCTGCGACCAAGGTTTCCATATAATCCTTACAGACAAGTGACCGTAGTCTACGACAGTGAAGGAAATTGTTCGCTATCTTCACAGCTTTCTGCAAAACATGTCCTCTGAAAATGGAAAATGTCACATAATAGGCCCACTATGCCTGCTGAGAACTGTTCAAAGATTCCACTTGATATACAGAGGATGGGATATTGAGAGCAGAGGGAACACGTAAAGCTAGTAAGCGCTTGAAAACGAAATGAAGATCTAAGAATTCGGAAAATAACATTCATCTAATCTCACAATGTAGTGGATGAGATTGAGTACGTGGCGCATTCTGGGTAAGTTTTGAGGCCCTTCTTTGTGTGTAGCGGTTAGCCCGCATAAGCGGGATTATATACACATCACATGCGAGCAACTACTTTTTGAGATGAAATCGAGTGCATGGCGCATTCCGAAATCAAGCTTTCTGAAAATATTTAGCACCATCTTGTAGCGCTTGAAGAGCTGAGTTCAACGGTGTTTTCCGTTTCTGGAATACTTCACTCTGACCGAGTTATAACGAATTCACGAAATTAACGAGGATTCGCGTTATTCGCGTGAATTTTCGATTTCAAACGGCGAGTACTGTAGATTACAGAGAGCTCAATAAGAGGATCAAGCAAGATTCGTATCCGCTGCCCACACTGGACGCAATCCTACAGAGTATGGCAGGGAAGAAGTGGTTTTCGACGCTCGACCTCTGTAGCGGGTATTGGCAAATACCACTTTCAGAGAAGGCAAAGGAGAAGTCGGCGTTCACAACAACCGAGGGACTTTTCCAGTTTCGAGTCACGCCATTTGGCCTGAGCACTAGCCCAGCGGTTTTTCAAAGGCTAATGGACAGATTTGCTGGGGAAGTATTTTGTTACATAAACGACATCAATATATGTACTGACTCTCGTGAACGGCACATCGAGATGTTGCGCAGGGTTTGTGCCAAGCTACAAGAAGCCGGATTGCGCCTCAAAGCGCAGAAATGTGTTTTGCTGCAACAGCAAGTGAGCTTCCTAGGACATATTGTTGATGAAAAAGGTGTGCACATAGACCCCAAAAAGGTGGAGGCGATAACAGGCTACCCGGTTCCAAGAGACATTCCTTGGAATGGCTTCGTTCTATCGAAAATTCTGCCTTGGATTCTCGAAGGTTGCAGGATGCTTGTTCAATCTAACGTCTTCGAAAAGCTTATGGAGATGGACAAAAGAGCATGAGGAAGCGTTTGGAAAACTGAAAAAGATGATATCGTCGGCACCTGTCTTAGTGCAGCCGGATATTGAGAAAGCCAGAGAAGGCTCACGACCTTTCATCATTTGTACCGATGCATCGACGACGGGACTAGGAGCAGTGCTGTCACAGGAGGGTGACGACAGACAG